GTGATCCATAAAACGTTTAACCACCAAGTAAATGACAATAATAGTTATGCTATATATGGACCTATGTGAAGGGTTAAAAACAGCTAGCTTGTTTGTTCACTTGAAAAGACAGGAAAAAACCACTGAAGTAATTTACATAACCCCATATTGGATTGTAGGCAATATTCATACCTCTGTATAGCTGCAATCTGAACTAAAGCTACACATAAATACCTCATTTTATATTTATTGCTACTAATGTAAAGTTTAATCCAACCCTAACCATTCTATGATTCTATGTTAAGTCATAGGAACAATAGTTTTTTGCAAGTTTTTAAGAAAATACTTCAGCAAAGTTCCCCAAATCTAGGTCTTAAAACCAATTTTTATCCAACCGTCTATGCATGTGTGTAGTGATGCTACACTTTTTTTTTAAGAGCATATTTAAAATCAGGTAGAAGAAATCACTACATGGTAAGTATTTTGTTAAAAGTAAAGTTTGAATACAAATGTATCATTTCAGAGAGTCCCCTGAACTTCATACCTGGTAATAAAATAAACCAAACGGTTCTCAATATTTTCTCATATCGGTTCTACATTTTTTGTATCTCCACCAAAAATTTACTGTTAAAACTCTGCAACAACACCTTAGGTTGTGATAATCACAGTCTAAGTGTCCCGATGTCATCACAAGTAGGATTCCCTGAAGTTGAGAGTTATCAAGGTATGAATAACAAGGAGACCGACCATACCCATATACTGTCCAAACACCATTCAGAAAGGCAGGATTCCTCTGACTCCCACTGCATTCTTTTTCTATTCTATTGCCTTTGAGTGTCAGTATGGTGATACTCCATTGTCCTAGTGAAAAAAGCCTGGACGACTTTACCTTTAAGTTTATCACTGTCTGAGCTAAAGTATTCTTAAGCCTTTGTTCTCCCTAAAACAAGGTATATAAAAAACATTTGCTGCAGCTATTTAACAAAAAAGGAAGTTGTTATATAGTTGTCAACTATTTGACTGTTGCTGTGCTTTGTTTTGGGTGGGTTTTTTTTCTAATATCTACTGCATCCCACTGGAATTTTCCTGTAGATTTAAATCAGCTCAATATGATCTGGATGAATAGGAGGAAACAAAGAAATGAATGATGTTTAAGGGATCTGTTTTGAAAATTGCTAGGAAAAATTTATTGTCCTCTTTTCAGTATGATTTTAATAACCCATATGAGTTACTGAAACCAAAAAGAGATTCTTATCATCAGGCAGACAAAGGATTCATAATTATGGTTTTTCATCTTAAGTTTACACTTAAGTTTACAACCTGAAAAGAAAAAGCCAAACTTAAGTGCCATATTGCTCATCTCTCTCTTGTTTTTACTGCCCTGTTAAATCAGTTTACTTTGCATGCATGTTGCAGTGTTTTTCAGATATCGACGCTGAGGGAGGATCTGCACAAGCTGCAGCACTTTTCTTGTATATTTTGCATGTAGCAAAAGTCGACCCTGATCTAATCCCGATTTCTGAGACCAGTGAACTAAGAATAAGGATTTCACCATGAGAACATTTAGCACCTTCGTATCTGTGGAATTTTTTCCGTAGGACCTTCCAATCCCATTTTAGCTACTGCCACAGGGCATTACAACCCAGCATCTTAGGTTTAAAGTCTGATACAGAGACTTAGAATTTAAGACAGTAGGTAGATAAAAAGTTCTGGAAGATATTCTAAAGCAAATTTCAAATGGATCAGGGAACAAGGAGAAGCAGAATGATGGCTTCTTAGCAGGTATGTGTTGCCCTGAGGGCAAGCTGGACAAAATGGAGTTTTGTTTGTTTGTTTAAAAAAAGAAAAAAAAAAAAAACAAAAAAAAAAGAAAACAAGAAAAGAAATCGCATCCATGACCTAATGTCAAACCTGAGAAGTACATATTACAACAGGCCAGCCTGGATATGAGGAAAGCAGGGATCCCTATATTCATGTTTTCATCTAAAAGGACAAAAAGTAATTTCCTATGGGAGGGAAAAAGGAATAGACTTTATTAAGCTGTTTCTATTTGAACTGGAGGCCTAGGCACAATCTTCATAATTGGAAGGAAAGAGTTTGCAATTTCTTTCCCTTTTTTTTTTTCTTTTTTTTTTCAGCAAGTGCTCTGTAGCAATGCTGCAGACAACTGCCTGTCAAGTAGGAAGCAGGAATCAATGCATAGCTTAACATAAAGGGGGCATTTAAACAAAAAGGTTTAGATATTAAAGGATGGCTTACAGCATGTGTATTTTGCATACTTTCATGTGGTCCTAATGCATTAACACATTTCTTCAAATACAGTCTTGCCAAAGAAACACTAAATTGGTAGCATTTTAGGTGAACAGTTTCTATATATCATTAAGGACTTGCTTGGGATTGGATTTGCAAAGCCCTGGGCGTGCACATTTGTAAGAAGACAGAGGAAGAAGTGCCCGTCAGGCTAAATCTTCCATAAAACTAAACCAGTTCAATTTGAGAGATATTAGTTATGCTTGGCTTAAACAGAAGTGCACTGGATCATTCAAGGGATCAGGGATTTATGCAGAAAATCTTGACTTGCATACGCAGATCAAGATGGCATCCTTTCTTTAAAAAATATGCAGTTCTACTTGTTGTATAGCAAGATATAAAACTGTGCGATTAAATAAAACTGCAGTTAAAGCACTGTGGAAAAAAGTTATTCTGTAATTAGAACATTCATGTCCTCACATTTTATCAGCAGTAATTAAAGATTAATTGCATTGTTCACTGACTAAACTTACAGCTAGTGCCTTATTTAAACTGTTTTTCATTTATTCCAAATACAAAACTTCATAAAGATCTGAACTGAAGCACCACTTAAAAAACACACTTAGAGCAAGTGATTTATTTTTTTTTCAGAGCCAAGAGAAATACATGCCTATGCCTGGATCATGAGTAACTCCAGCTTTCTGGAAGCAAAACCTCAGGTATGTATTTTTTCCTTCTCTTACTAACTGTCAGGAACAATAAATTAGGAAGGAAAAAGAAAAATTAAAAATAGCATGGATCTGAAAGTGAAAGTTGATATTGCACATGAAAGACTCAGAATACTTACAAAAACATTTCTACTTGCATGCTACTTTGCTGAGTAAAACACAGATTACCTTTTATCCTTGATTGCTTTCTTTATAATGCACAACAGATAAGCCTTTTGAATACCACAAATTTTTTTCATTGTTATCATTCTGAATTCAGACTGTGGAATGGATCAGAGAACATACTGATACAAATCCAGCAAATGTAGTTACAAAAACCACAACTGGGATAAATCACTTCGGTCCCCACTTCTTGTCAGAATGGTGGTCATCGGCTGACAAGTGACAAGTCAAACTGGAAATAGCTGTAATTACAGTTTACAAGGGTTAACTGAATGAAAGCCACTTCTTTGTGGATCTGCTGCAGGCATCCAGCCTTTGAAAGCCCTAAGTGCCATACCTTTCATATCGTAAAGGTGCATAAATTGAGCCTTTTGCTGAAGTAGGAAAATCAGGCTGATTCACAGAACCTGGGGAACAGCCCAGTATGCCGAAATGGAGATAATGACAAGAAAAGTGAATCAACTTTGGACTTCAGGTGAAAATGGTTAAAAAAAGAATGCAAAGGGAGTGACAAATGGGATTAATCCAAGTGAATGCTGAGGATTTTAAGGAAGAAAATTACTCAATGTTTGTGTATAGGAAAGTCCAAGTAATACAATGTTGCCTGGTGTCATATACTTTTATGCTCATTTTGGATCACTCCGGTGAAAAACCCCAATTTACTTATGTCCCCCTCACCACAAGGTGGCACATATGTACTCCCCATGATTTTTTAACTGCCTGTGCACTTAATTTTTAAGTAGTAACTGTTATCCACTTCTACAGAGAGGAAGGAGTGGGGGTGGGTAACAGCAGTGAATGATAAACTGCATTATCTTATCAAGTACAGACAACTTAAAGTAAGTAAACGATTCTTAATATGTGGATTAATTCCAAACTGTCCTTGTTACTATTATTTACTAAAGGGTCTAAGGTGTATTCACATCAGCAGTGTGGAAATTAAACAGGATAAGGAGCTATTGAAAGCTTAGCTTCAGTGTCTTACAAATACATTCACCAGAAACTTAACAGAACTTAAGGGTGAAATGGAATATGGACTTTGGATAGGCTGGTGCCAAAGGTGGCAATAAGTACACAGAAGCAGAAACCCAGGCGTATCTACCCGTTATTTTGATTGTCTATATTTTAAGCCTTCTGGTCACCCCTTGATTGTTACACAGTAGAAGGGTTTTTCTTCCATTGCTGCCACTTTCAATTCTCATGTTGTGAGTTTCAAGAACTAATAACTACAGATACTAAGGAAGGCTGTTCCCTAGTGGCAATTTTTGCTTCATGCTGATACAGGTTGTGTTTGAATGTCAGGCTTTGAAACATCCAAATATAAATTTTCATGTTCACCTAGTGGCTGATCAAATAAAAATCTCAGTGATCTTCCATGCAGTTATTCCTCTTTTCAAGTCCATGATATAAAAACATAGTGCATGATCTATAATGGCTACAGCACACCCTTCTCCACAGTACATAATGGACCCGCATGTTTCATATATCCATCAGAAAGGCACGAAGCAGAATATGAATCCACCAAACTGCAGAAGAGATTTGAAAGCAAACTGAGATAAACATGTGAGTACAAAAGAGAAGGAGGAATTTTTGAAGGACAGAAAAATACTGACCTAAATCAAAGCACAGAAACATTAGCTAGCATGCGAAGCAGTTCTATGCACACACCATGGAATATATGTTTTTAGAAAGTAGATTCTTGGAGATTTAAAGTATAAACTATGTACATAGCTCCCTCTGATGACCATTGGACACGATACAATGCAAGTCTCCTTTTATTTTTGTTCCTGCACTCAACTGACAGCTGACTGGTTAAATTCTAATTGCTTCCAAGTGAGGTCAGCAAAGGTATTTATCGAAAAGGACTGAACAACAGGCTCAACACACACATGCACGCGCACGCATAAGCACATACACACCATCTCTCCAGCGTGTTGATTTATGGAAACAATTATAACTCTGGTGGAGTCTGTCTGAGCCGAGAAAGTTTGTAGCTACAGTAGAGTGTCTCATGTTGCAAAAAGCAGACAACAGAAATGGAATACTTGGGTGTCCAGCTCTTATCAACAGGAACAAGTAAGTCATCTGTCCTTTACAAGAACATTCAACTGTTTCTAATAGCTAATAACTTTTTTCTTCATTTGTATATGCTAGAGGCTAAAAAAGCATTAAAACTACTTCTACTAATAAACTGAAAAGGGTAGGAATAAAAATACGGGGCTAGGACTATGAGGTCTGTTTCAAAATTAGAAATAGAAAAAAAGTTATCTGATAGACTGTGCTAATACTGAATATATAGGTATGAAATAATCAGCAGAATTTTACCATGCATGAAAGTAGCTCAATTGAATCAATAAGGGATTTTTGGAAGGACTTAAAACTGAAGACAGAACTATGTTTATAACCAGCTTAAATGTCTGTTTATGTAAAAAGCTGCGTGAGAGATAGCTATTGTATATATATTTGCATCATTTTTAAATGTATGACATGCTAAGCTGATTTTTATGTATAGTACTTTTCAGTAGCATAATGTATCCTTGCACATTTGTAACAATTGAGTATAAAGACTTATACATGCACCTTTTCTCACAGATCTTTTACTTTCAGTGCAAGCAGCAAATTCAAGTAGTACAGACGGTCACGACAACAAAGGTTTTTATAACTTGTGCCTTTAAAGGATATTCTGACTGAGGAGATATTTAAGAAGCTCTTCTATTTCGCCATTAACTATTAAGGAATAACGATCAGAATTCTAGAAGAGGGAACAATCTCATTTAAATGAATCTGTAACTCATAAAGACAGAAGGCAGGTCGGTGACCTAAGAGCAACAGCCTACTTGAGATTTAATTTTCATTATGTTGTTCATGAACACCCAGAACACTGCACTATAATGCACAAATGGATACTGACATGGATCCTGCCAATTTTGCTCTACAGATCGTACTTTTACATTATCTTTCTAATGGGCACTATATCTTTAGCTTGCAATGACATGACTCCAGAGCAAATGGCTACAAATGTGAACTGTTCCAGCCCTGAGCGACATACCAGAAGCTATGATTATATGGAAGGGGGGGATGTAAGAGTGAGAAGACTTTTCTGTCGAACTCAGTGGTATATGAGGATTGACAAGCGAGGCAAAGTAAAAGGGACAAGAGAAGCAAACAACAACTACAGTAAGTAATATTTTTGCTTTTCCTATTTCTAAGTTTTTAGAAACGTACACATTGTTTCTTATTCCTTGATTTATAGTGATTCCAAAAAACTTTTGTATAGTGTACTGATCATTGTGTAAGACAAGTTTTCCAATTAATCCTGCAGGAGGACATTTGTTATTGATTTTGAAATGCGTCATTTTAAATACATTGTAGATCTGCTAATGTATTAGTTACAGCTGGTAACTATTAGCAAACAGAGAGTCTATTTTAACAAGTGAATTAAGGTTGTACGTATGAAAATGTATAACCACTAACTCTACTCATAAAACACTTATGAAACATTAAACCACATTTATATAGTCCACACATTACCTGAAAGTTTGGTGTGTTTGAGATAACAATTAAAACATATGCAATACTAGAAGGTTCAATGGAAAGAATTATGTAAACTCTCTTGCAAAATCTTTTAGATAGCTTGCCAAGCCAGGAACAAAACCTATTATAGTTTCTGCAGTTCATTATTACAATGATCATGATGCTGAAAAAAATATTCTCCCCCTTTTCTTCCAAAAACATGAGTCATCTGGAGAGAATGGACATATAATATTTTGCAAAGCTGTACCAAATACAATTTTTGAACTGGCAAAATAATTGTTGTACTAATCTGCATTTTTCACACAAATAACTATGTACCTTCCATTTAGACAGTTTTAATGGAGATTGTACATATTATTGTGCTTTTTATAAGAGCAGCAACAAAAGAAATCAATAAAACAAACTTCTAGAACTGTTAGTGTGATTCAGCTTTCAGCTGGAGTTGACTGCTTATTTTCTATAAGAACAGCACTTTTGCATGCTAAGTGTCTGGCTATTAGGCTCCATAATTTATTTATTTACTTTATGACTATGTTAAGTGCTTGGCAACTTGTGTGGTTAAAACTTCATTGACTAGTGTTACTGTTTCTTTCAAAATTTGTTTCCATATGTCTCATTTCTTCCTACACTATTACATAGTGAACAACCATATTCCTCTGAAAGACAACACATGGCCAGCAGCCAAACAAATTATTTGGTCCATATTCAAGAAGACTCCCATTGCGTTTCAGGACATTGCTACAATAGAGATCCATAGGGCTAGTTTCCAAGTGAAATGTTGCTCCATAAAAATCACTGGGAAAAACTGTTACTAACTGTTGAAATAGTTTCTTATAGATTTTTACAGATAAGTGAATATCTATTGTACCCAATTTTTTTTCTGCTATTATTTAAAAACACTTAAAAGAGATTATGACAGCAGGTAGAGCTGAATAATTATATAGATTTGCTTATTTCCATGCTGCTTAAGTAAAAGCTTTGTTCGTAATTTAGGATTATTTCAAACTCAAGTAAAGGTTCTGAATTCTCTGCAGGATCCCACGCTGCTGAAGCATATTAATGACACTCTGAAACACTCTATAGTGAAACCATCAGGGAATATCAGATCACCTTGTACTAAAGGCAATCCATTTTCTTGGAGTTTTCTGAACACTTTATGAATATTTAGTGATGTTAACTACTACAAATTACTGAAAGGCAACCTTGAGTTGTTAAACTCTTACATTTATATCATGGTGAAAAAAATTTTGACTTTTTTTCTGGTAAATGCAACAAGCCTCAGGAGAAAACACAATCAATACTTGAGTGGTTTATCTGGTAACTGATGTGTGCTATAATGAACTGCTCCACTAAATTTAACTAAAGTATGTGGGATGTCTCCCACCATCTTAAGTCTCTTGCTGTAATTTATCTTTTGAATACTAGGAAATAATATCCAAATGCTTTTTTCGGACAAGTAGAATAGGGACATACAGATAAAGAGGCCTGGAAAAATGTGAACACTGACAACTTGGATTTTCTGAGAAACTAAAAACATTAGTATTGTGAAAAACTTCGTCATACCCTCTATTCAACTGAATAGGTAAGAAGCCTTTCTGAAGACGTGTTTACAGCTCTATACTAAAATATCCATAAAGAAAATAATTGATATGAGGAGACAAAAAAAAAAAACAAAAAACAAAAAACAAAAAACAAAACAACAACCAACCCAAAAAAAACACAAACAAACAAAAAAAACCAAAAAACCCCCCAAAAAACCCCCACAACAAACCACAAAACCAAGACACCTCCACCTGGACTAATACACTTTCCCTAAGCAAAATTTTTAACATTAGAAGACTAAACATGTTATTTTTATTCAGGGTCTCTCAAGAGCATCATTTTAAAATCATACTTATTACAAAGGTTTATTAATCTGGGTGTTCAATTATTCTTGTTCCATGATTTCCAGTTCTGAAAGTCAGTAAAAGGTAAATCAGACCTGTCTCTCAGGATGGAATCCCAGAACAGTTGCAGTCAAATTAATCAATGGGCACAAAAAAAAAAGTGTTTCTCTGAGAAGTACCTTCTTATTTTATCCTAATTTTCCACTTATGTAATAAATGAAAGGAATCCTTTTACCTTTTGAATCACTAACATGTGTTACTATAATGAAAACGAGAAAACCCCCATATTTTTAACTATCATAACTTAGCTTCATAAAGGAAGCTGCATTGACAGTTTTACAGACAGTCAACTACTTGTTTTCAGCCCATAAATTCTGAAGCATGAATAATGTGAAGAACAATCTTCACATTGAGAAATGTCTGTAGAATGATAACTTCATCATAACTTTGGCAAGTGCCAAAACGCACAGAGCTTTTCTCATCAGCCGAGACTATAAATGTAAGAATACCAAGACATTGAGGAATTAGTGTCTTTGTATATCAAGCTTCTCTATTAAGCTACAGAATATAGGAAAGTAACAGCAAAAATAATGAAAGTGTTACAATTTTCTAAGTAACTCAAAAGCCACTGTAATAAATGTACGTGGACTGAAATTCCACAACAAAAATTAAATAGTGAACCAGATCCTCACTCACCAATTGTAATAAATCTGTATTTATCATTATTTCAAAACACATTACAAGTTAACTGCTTAGCCCAAGAAATACACGTGTACTGTTTCAGTGAAAGCGAATTGTTGAATCCTGTTTACAGCAGTGATGACCTTGTTAGGTACCCAAAGAATATTATTTTGTGCACATTTCAGAAAGCAGTAGAGCCTTCTGGTGGACACAAAGGTGATAACTCAAGAGTAAACTGAGCAAATCAGAGGACAGCGACCTCTGCTAAGCAGAGGGAATCACTTTGCACCTGACAGCTTTGCTTTCTTTATGAAAACTAAAACGTAGAGTGAGAACTGAGAGTCACATACTGAAAAACTAAAGCAAGAATTAGGAAGCAGCCAAGAGATTAGGTCACCCAGAAACATCTGTCATTACCCGTAAAATTTTTTCTCATTGACAATCACTTATTATACCTTGTCCAAACCTAAACTGTGTGCTTTTTATTAAAAAATAAATTTTGTATCTTGTTCATACAAAATAATCTAAGTGGGCACACAAAACAGACTTTTTGATTTCACGATTGTAAAAAGTGAGAGTAACTGAACAAATCTTGGAGATAATATGATAATTTGTTAATTCTTTTTCCTTCATAGGCAATAAATCTCTCCTTACTGCTTACTTCTTTCATTTCAGTTTGTGTTTATTAATTTTGCCATATTTTATTTGATCTAGTTCAGAAAAAAAGGCAGCAAAAATCAGAGTTTATTTTGGCTCTATCCAAGAGGATTTACAACTATGACTGGATGATGCTTTAGGACTTTCCACGCTCTGTTGCCTTTGGAATCTCATTTTAAAGACTTCAAAGGGGCTCTTAGTTACTAGAAAAGCCTTCCCGGAACCTGGATCCTAAGATGTCTGATCCTATCATATTCCATGTGTGCTCTAAACCCAGAGAGTACCTATTTCCTCTTACTTTCAGTGGACAAAGCCAACAACAAAAAAAAAAAAAAAAAAACCAAAAAAAAAAAGAAAAAACAAGATAGTTGAGTGAGATCTTGGCACAAAACAGCTGAAATCTTGATTAAAATTTTTATCTTGGAAAAAAGATACTTCTATTTTGATCAAAATCCAACAAGTCATAGTTTCCAGCTATACTGAATGAACTCTAACTCAGTTTCGTTCAAACCTAAACCCTAACTGATGACAAAATACACTTCATACACACCTTAGTGGTTAAATACTCAAACTTGCTTAGAAATCAAAATTATTTCCAATAGCATTTTATATATTCTTCCTAGGGTAAAACAAATGGTGGACTATGTATGCTGTGCCACTATGTATATTTTATTTCTCTTGATTAAATACATACTATGTGAAGGAGCAAGAAGATTCAGTATCTAAGAAATCAGATAGCTCAAGGCAGGTATGGATGTACCAGCTTCAGTTAAGGGTTATGTGTGTTCCAACCAAACAGAAAGTCTATCTTTGCAACTGCATTCTTAATTTTTCAAGAGATTGTTGGTTCAACCAACACACTGGTGTCAGAAGACAAACCTTCACCTAATGTGAGGGTGCTTTTGCTTCACATTAGTACTGTGCTAACCTTTTCAATTATAACAGAAAGACTTAATTGAAATGTCAATATATGTGTAGCCTCTCAAAACTTAGCCTGCAGTGCTAAGGATGACTTTCACTCCTAGAGTGATTAATCAGATCTAGATATAACAGATTTCCCTGCTCCCTCTCTAGCTCTTTGTCTAGCACTGGTGGTAGATACCATCCCTCAAGTCTCAACCAGCAGAAGAGACTCTATGCATATACCTTAGCCTATACCTTATCACAAATCCCAGCTTCTCACCGTCAACTGCTGATGAAGATGGGTTTTAGCAAAGATGCAGATAATAGAAGCAGCTGAGTTATGCCTCTCTTACAGCTTCTATTGACTTTTTCAATAAGAGTACCCTTTGGGGGAAGTGAGGAGAAGAAAGGAGGGAGTAAAGTCTTGAACCATTGCAGCAAGATTCTTCAGATCTCACATATCAATGTCCAGATCAACTGACGCAGTATGACAGAGGTGCCACAAAGCACAATTAA